AGCACAATTTTATTGCAGTCATTCAGAATTTTAGTTTCAGAATATTACCAATTTTCTTTCACACTACATCAATTACTTTAAAACCTGCCTTATGTGTTTTGAGAGCCATTTTCTAATAGGTACCATAAGTGTTATTTTCTCAGTAATCATTTGGTTTTAAACATAAAGGTGTTAAAAAAACCATAAAGGTGTTAAGCAGCTTATTGAAATATCATTGACATATAAAGTTGCACATATTTAATGTGCCCTACTTGGTATTTTGATATATGTACACATTATAAAATAATCACCACATTCTAATGAATTAATATTCAAGGAAAGTAACATACTCATCATCTAACATAGTTACCTTTTTATTTGTGACCAAAAAAACTTAAGATCTATTCTTAGCAAATTTCCGGAACTAACGATAGTATTGCTAACTAAAATTACAATACTATACATCAGATCTCCAGAAGTCAATACTCTTGCATAATTTAAATGAAAACTTTGACCCCTTCTACTTGGTTTCCCTTCCCATCTCCCTGGCAACCACCATTCTGCTCTGCTTCTACAAGCTTGGCTATTCCAGATCCCACACATACAGGAAGAGCATGCAAATTTGTTTCTCTGCATCGGGATTATTTTCACTTAGCATAATATCCTTTGATTTCATCTGTGTTGTAGAAAATAGCAGAATTTCCTTCTTTTTAAGGCTAAAATATTCCAGTGTATATGTACATTTTCTCTATCATGTATCCATTGATGGACACAAGTTATTTACATGTCTTGGCAATTGTGAATAATGAGGTAATGAACATGGGATTATAGATACCTCTTTGAGACTCTAGGAGCTTTACAGTTTAGGTGTTATATTTAAGGCTTTAACTGATGTGTGAGATAGGGGTCCAATCTCATTCTTTTATACATAGATACTTGGTTTTTACTGTACAATTTGTTGCAGGGACTATACTTTCCTTATTGTGTGTTCTAGTCACTCTTCAAAGATCAATGACTGTAAATGCATGGGTTGAGTTCTAGGTTCTTTATTCTGTTCCATTAACCTATATGTCTGTTTTTATGTTAGTACAGCACTGTTTTGCTTAACATAGCTTTGCATTATAACTTGAAGTCAAGAAATGTGATGCCTACCGCTTTTTTCTTTTTTATCAATATAGCTTGGGCTTTGGGGTTTTTTGGTTTTATACGAATTTTAGGATTTTTTTTTCTTATTCTTAAAAACAATCCCATTGGTATTTTGATAGGGATTGTACTGAATCTGTAGATTACTGTGAATATTATGGTCATTGTGACAGTATTGATTCTTTCAATCTATGAACACAGGTTGTCTTTCCATCTATCTGTGTCTTTTAAAATTTCTTTCCTCAATTTCTTTATAATTTTTAATGTAGACATTTTTTATCTCTTTGGTGACATAGTGTTTTATCTTTTGTTGTTAATACTGTTAGTGAAATTACTTTCTGAATTTTCCTTTTAGATAGTTTCTGCTGGCACACCCAATCACCACTGATTTTAATATGTTGATTTTGTATCTTACAATTTTTTTTTTGGTTTTTTTTTGGGGGGGGGGGTTCCAGTACCAGGAATCTAACTCACTACCTTGTGCTTGCCAGGCAGGTGCTGTGCTGCTGAGCTAAATCCCCAGCCCCCTGTGTCCTGCAACTTTAAGTGAATGAGATCTAACAATTTTTTGTACAAAGTCCTTAAAGTTTTCTACATATGTAATCATGTTATCTGCAAAGAGATGGTTTTACCTTACCAGAAGTCTTCTTCAGTGTTTTCCTTTTCCTCTACTACTGGATTAGTCCTTAAATAAGCACTCAGTCAATAGGTTCAAATACTTTAGAATCACTTGGACATACTTGTTGAAAGTGCAAATTTCTGGGCTCTACCCCTAGAGACAGGAATTTACCCCACTGGGAGGATTCACATTTTTAAAAGCACTCCCTCCAGAAAGGCTGTAATGTATGTGTTTGTTAACAGCATTTTCAAAAATAGTAATCGTTTTATCCAGCCTATTTACTTATTTATATATGTCTTTTGAAACAGGTGTTCTCTATGTGGTTTAGGCTGATCTTGAATTCATCAGGTAGCCCAGGCTGGCCTTGAGTTCCTGGTGATCCTCTTGCCTCAGCCTCCCAAGGACTGGAATCACAGGTGTGGGCCACCACACCTGGCTCAAGGCAACCCTTTTTAAAGACAGGGAAACTGAGAGATGATATCAATGGCAGGTCCATCTCAGCCTCTCTCAGAGCCTGTTAACTTACACCATCCTAAAGAATGAGCCTGTCTGGGACTTGCCGAGTGCTACAGCGACAGCCTCCTGCCACGAGGCTCCTCCTCCAACCTGGCACCCTCCTATCCTGCCCAGATTTTTGGAAATCTCTTTGACCTCCCCCAAGCAAGTCCTCTCTCTCTCTTTTCCTTCCCATGTTTTTTTTTCTCTCTCTCTCTCTCCCATCTTTATTACCTATTTCTGTGAATAAATTTTCCCAATCTTAGTATCTTAAAGCAACCACCCAAAAAAGGCGATCGTTTTACTTTTCTCATGATTTTGCGGGCCAAGAATTTGAAAAGGAGTCAGTTTGGTGGCTCTCTGGGTTAGCCAGCTTTTGGTTGCTGTGACCCAGTGTCTGCAAAAAACAGTCTAAGGGAGGAAAGATTCATTTTATCTCATGGGGAGTCCACAGTCGGCTGGCTTCACCCCTTTTACGCCTCTGGCAAGGCAGAAATCTCATGGTTGTAGGGTGTAGCAGGAGAATGCTCATCGCATCATGGTAGCCAGGAGACAAAGAGGGAGTGAAAGACCCAGAGAGGAAGGGGTCAGGTACCAGAGGTAGTCCGCAAAGCCACGCCCCCACAACCCATTCCGTTCTACCAAGACCACCTCCTATGTTCCCAGTACTAACCAATAATGCTATCAAATTGTGATCTCATCACCAGATTAACACACTGAGGAAGTTAGAATCCTCACGATCCAATCACCTCCCGAAAGCCCCACTTCTGAACATATGAGATTTTCCTGGGACGTTTTCGATCTTAACCATAACTTTCTCTCATCGGGTCATTCCCACGGTCGCAGTCAGATAGCCGCTAGGGCTGCAGTCACCCGAGACTATGGCATTGGGCAATTCATTCACGCTGCTGGAAATTGGTGCTGGATGTTAGTGAGAGCTTACTCGGGGGCTGTCTATCAGAGCGCTAACACAGGCTTTCTGAGCAGGCTGCCTCAGGGTGGTTGAACCTCTTCCATGGCAGCTGCTCCCTGCCTGCCTCCTCTTCACCCCTTGCCCCAACAAGCTTTCTATGAGGACCAAGTGAAAGTTGCACTTTTTCTGGCCTAACCTTGGAGGTCACATAACATCATGTTTGTCTTGTGCTATTGGTCAGTGCAGCTATAGAGCTTGCCTAGATTCAAAGGGAGGGAACGCAGATCCTCCTTGTAGGTGGGAAATATGTGAAAGAATTTTGAGACCCTGCTCTGAAACTGTTGCATCAGCCAATACTTTCTCCTCCTTCATCCCTCCTTTCTTCTGCAGTCCTCTTTCACACACCTTTGATTCCCTATATCACCTCCTTTCATTCCCCTCCTATGATTTTCTATTTTCGGGTTTCCATGATACTCTGCATCACACTATAAAACTGTTTTCTTATTGCAGCTCCAGAAGAGACCCATGAGACTTTTCTGAGGCAGGATTTTCCCTGAAGTGCTCATGCTTCAAGGTCCCTCACTTGAGTAGTGTCCTTTCAAGATTGTGGGAGTCACCATAGCTGTATGTTTACATGGTTAAACGATTTATGATATCTGTAAAAATAAAATGTTCTCACCCTAACCAGCTAGGCTATCTTCTTTTTCACTCTGACCTCTCTCTCACACTTCTCCTGGGTCAGGTGATGATGGAATGGCTGACAACTTTTTGGCATCCAACAAAAGAGAATTATTGAGTTAAGGATATATTTAGTTTGGGGTTGACATATGTTTTAGGCTTTTTCGCTATTGTTTCTATGCATAGGAAGTTGCTTCTTGCTGTCCCAGTTCCAAGGACTACTCTTGTTGTCTGCCATGCCAACTCCCTTGGCCGCATGACACTGAGGCAGGGGACTAGAGGTTGCACTGTAGTGTGAATGTACCTAGCCCTAGAATGATATGGGCAATGGAGGAGAAACAAGTTTTGAAATGTATGGAGCCGGAAAAACAAGTCTCTAGAAAGCTCTTCCAAGTACCAGATTCATAAAATTATAAATATTTTAAAATTTTAGTTTTTATGGAAACCTATTCAGAAGCTCTTTACTAGGAAGTATATCCCTGATAATTCAATACGTGCAATTTAAAATATACCATGAATATTTTATTTTTTGATGGAACTTTACAAAAGAGAACTTATCGAATTCCTGTGTTTTTAGTACACACACCAACAAACAGAACTACAAACATCAAGCATGGCTTTGCAGCCAGGCATGTGCTGACTGCATCACAACTAGGATCAACATCAAAATAGAACCATATTTTGATAAATTATGTCAAATGAAAGTGAATTATTTTTCTAGTCTCTCCCCAGAAATTGAGTTTTCCAGAATTGATATTGTAAATTTGAAATATGAATTAATAATTTATTTGATGGATTTCCTGAAAAGTGATATCTGCCAGCTTTTTAAAATTTGCAATTGGTTGTGATTTCATTTTTTATTGGAAATAACATTCCCTTTTACATTCCATTTGTAGTCAGACTTTAAAGAAGCTCCTAACTGATAGGGTTTAGATCACACAAAAACTGAATATACACTGGCCCTGCTCTTAAGCATCTGATAATATTTTTTCCAGGGTAACAGTGTCACCAGAGGTCTCAATTTTTAGGATATTCTTACTCTTCCTTGGTTGTTACCGGAAAACCCAGTGACCTGTTATTCTTTAAAAATTGCATATAGATAAATGTGAATAGAAGTGACTCTCTGCACATTACAGATGCAAATTATTCAGACTCAGAAACATCAGACCCCGTAGAACACTTTATTAGGTGGAACTGTGGGCATTATGGGAATAAATGGGCTTCCTGAAAGTTAAAGAGATAGGAAATCACTGAGCACGGGTAAAAGGTGAAAGGCACAGTGTCTGTAGACAAGACGAGCTGGAGCAAAGACAGTAAGCAAAGGCTGGAGCTCAGTTTTTGGAAAAGCAGAGATTTTAGTGGCTGAAATTTGGTCAGTGGAAGCCACCATGGAGCACTGGTCAGGCACATGCGGAGATAGCCCCAGATTATGAGCCACATCCTGGAGGTTGTTCCAGCTCCTCTCTTAGTGTATCTTGGTATCTGTAAGGTAACAGAATAAAGGGTGGGATGTTTGGATCCTGATCACCTTAGGAACCAAATCTTAGAGATAATGGAAAAGAGGCCATGAGATCATTCTGACATCTTTTGGCAGGAAATAAAAACCAAAGTGAGGTGAGTCTTTGGTTTGGCCTGCACCCCCTACTCACCACATACTTGTCAATTTCCCTTTGCCTGTTGCCTCCCTTCCTACCCTCTCTGCCCCAAAATATCTCTATACTTACAGTCTGCAAAGTTCATTCTCACCTCCTGATTGGAGCTGCTTCAGTCAGCTCCAGATGCACAGGTCTTGGAATGGACCAATGCCCAAATTTTTATGTAGCCCTGATAAGCATGGGAGTTTGGGACTTACATCCTTTTTTGCAGATCACCTTGCAGATAGCTTCAGATGGGAAGTTGTTAGGGTTCCCACCGCAACCACCGAAGATGAATTGGGAGCAGAGGTTGGTTTCTTTATCATACCACCAGCGGGGAAGGTAGGCCAAGCAGGGGCCAGGGGCCATTGGCTTAGCGCATACATCTGCAGGGAGATCATAATGCAGAGCCATTTGGACGCCTGTCTCCTTGCCTATCCCTTCCTCTGACCACTGCTCTCTGTCTCTGCTGAGAGGCATATTTGGCCGCTCACTTTAACCTCAGCGGTTCTTAACTTCTTCATCTGTAAAACGAGAACACAAAATACTACCCTGTTTGTCTTATAGGACTGTTGTAAGAAGCGGATGTCACAATACCAAGTGGCCCCACTTATTGGGCCTCCCCAACTTCTGAGCGATTAAATCACAACGATTTTGCCTGCTAAATAGCTTTCCTTTCTCTGTTTTTGCCATTTTTTAAAAATTCAAGCAGCATCATCTTTTCCAGGACCGCCAAGACGGGCTACCAGTGGCTCTCCAAGACTTTTCCAGTCTACCCCACATTGGTTTTCAATATACCTGATCCACTAGGCTCGAGATAAAATTCTACCTAGAAGGATTCCTAAGTTCTATTTCTTCCTTCTTTCCAGCTTTATTTTTTTGCTGCTCCTAACACTCCCATTTTCAAACTTCATGCTATAAAAATAGCACATACTTACACAGCTATATGCTTTGCACCTGCCTAAGTGTTCATACCGTTCTTGCTAACTAAAATCCTTCCCAGTTGTCAAATCCTTTGTGATGTCTTTCCTGGATCCATTCCTTTCCCTCTTGCTTTCCTTTTCTGTGTCTCAACCTTACACATTTTTTGCTTTTGTAATACACATTCATTGCTTACACATTCAGCTATCACTTTTGTGTAACTGGTTCATTCTTTCTCACTCTTCTAGGGGAATATGAGTTTTTCAAGGGTAGAAATTATGTCCTCTGTCATCTGGCTACAGCAGTTCCTAGCAGATAATTTGGCTTAGAGTGGCTGTTTCAGAAGTGTCCCTAGTGGGAAAAAATATATATATCTTCAATTTAAAAAGCATGTAATGAAGAACTATTTTACCCATAGTGCTATGAGGTACAAATCAAGTCATGTAGTACCCCACAGTCTGCAGCCCAACAACACAACAATTTTATGAAAGTAAATCAGTCACTGTTCTTAGCATTTAACCTAGGGCAACATTCAGTCTTATGTGGTAGACCCTTTCCGTATTCTTGATATGCAGATGAGGAAAATAAGGCTTAGAGAAGGTCAGTAGCTTCTCTGAGCTCATGTAGGTGGTTAGGGACTTAAATATAGGTAATGTGTTATTCTTAGGACAAAAACAGAACCTGTGACCTCCTCCCTAGTCCTAGTCTGTCTCATCTCTTGCCCTGTGTAGACTTTCTCTGCTCTCTGGTCTTTCTAGGCCTGATCTCACTGCCTCCCACCACAGGGCCCCTTCCACCGGCTGTTACCTGTCCCTGAAAGATTACTCTCTACAAGTTTTTGCCTGCGTGCTGTCCATTTTTCAAATTATAAATCATGAAGTTTTTCCCTCCAGGAAAAACTTTTCTGCTCTTCCTGACCACAATGAGCAAGTGGAACTCATCATGGGGGTCAGGGGCACCAATGAATACAGTATTTGTTGAACGAATAAATGTATAAAAAGTGCTTGATGCTTTTCCTTAGAACCCAATGGTACAAGTAGGGAGGCGAGCGTGTAGGAGTTTGAAGGTATTCAGAGAAGGCATCCTGGATTTATATAGACAGAGAAGCCTCATATACCTGTCTCTTATCGTTATTCCATAACCTGGCACAATGGTGGCAACTGATGGGACTTCAGTGCCTTCTTGGCACTGTAGAAGATCACTGAAAAGAAAAGTAGTCAAGAGCCTGTGTGGTCTGGTACCCATATCTATCTTCTAGAAGGGGAGACTGGGTCCCAGGATAAAAGACATAAATTTCCCACATCACGTATGTCACAAAGAACTACATTGCTCACATCACATAGGGACCAAAATGAAACATTGGACTTCTCCCAAGTCCAGCACTGACAGGATTGGCATCAGGTAGAAGATACTCTGAGATTCTTGATCAGAAACCAGCCTTGGTGACCCAGGAAGGGGGAACGGACAATGCCAGGGCATGAAGAGGAGGGAGGAGAGGACATTGGGAGATCCAGGGGATCAGTCAGATACCTTCTCTGAGATCTAAACATTTCTTTCCACAGCCGAACATGCAGCACTTCATTTTATCTGGGCAATGTCTGTGCCTCGTGCACTGGTACCTTTCTTCAACTTCACATTTTACTTTGATTTTGGGACAGGATCCTATGGAAGGAGAAGACATCCTTCCGTCAGACCTTGAAGAAGCCATTGTTTTTCCTTCCCCAGCACTGCAGAGTCGGAGAAGCTTGTTTTCCCTCCACCTGTGCCCAGAAGGTCATAACAGAGGGTTCAAGAGTCTCACGACACTAGCCGCATCCCCATCCTTGTAACCACTCACTGTCTAATCCCTACATACACCCCTGCTCCCATTCTTGTCACACATACGTTTCCCAGAGAAGGACAAGCTTCTCCAGGACTATTCTGGTCACTAGGCCTTGCTGGGCATAGCTCATGGTGACTGAGAGCTCCATTTCTAGCATCCGACGGCTGGGCTTCAGAATTCTGTGCAACCCTTGGGACGGCAGGAATCCTCCCTGAATATTTCTTCATTTGTTTAAAGAGTCATTTTGAACACTAATTCAACCAAGTTTGAAAAGCTGCCTGGGGCAAAATAATAATGATTAGTATTGATGGAATACTTCCTATGCACCTGGCCCGTTCTCCTTAACCCTCATTACACATCTACGGCTCAGTCCTTTAAATATCCACATCTAATAAACAGAGGAGCCTGAAGCACAGGGAGGTTCTGTGAACTTGTCTAGGGTCACATAGCTTATTAAGGAGCGGGACCCAAATTCGACCCTGTGAGGTATGGCTCCTGAGCACTCACTTTCAACCACTTCTTTTAAAATGCTCCGTATATTTTATGTACTTTTGCTAAGTACAGAGTGTTCATATTTCAGTACTCCAAGGGTCTGGAGACTATTCTTTACCCCTCAAAGTCAGGACCCTCTGTGGATGGCCTGTCCTTAAGGGAAAATCCCATTGGTTATACAGATCCTGATGTTCGTTTTCATGAGATTCTAGGTCCAGGCACCTCCGGGAAGAAATCCTTGGAATGGTGAGGGGAAGTCAGCTGCTACAGACTGAGGTTCCTGTGCACACCAAGGTTATCTTACCAGGAGGAAGAGGGCTGAAATAGCAATTCCAAATGTCTCCTCTCTCCCACCCGAAGCCCCAGAGTGAGGTAGGGGAAGCAGTGAAACCCTTCTTCATTCCTTCCTCCACATCAAGTTCTCTCTCTCTCAACTGCAAGCACTGTGTTCCCAATACTTACTGAGAAGGAGCCCCTCAACCGGCCTAGGTTCCTGGACACCCCCCAGGAAGACAAATGGTACCAGGAATGACAGAAGTCCCAAGAATCTCATTTTAGGAAGCACTGGCCTGGCTGGTGGCACCAAAACTAGGCACTACTGCTCAGCACCTCTAGCCTCTAAACTTTGGCCACCCAGGCCCAACACCCCAGGAGACAAGCCAGCAACACTCTGGAGGCAAGCCAGAGACATTCTTCTGCTGGGGAACACCAAGTCCCCGAGGCCATCAGTGGGACTAACCAGCACCTACAGTACTGACCCTGGAGGAAGGGGCTTTTGATAGGCTGCTCCTCAGCAATCTGAGACTCCCTGTTTCTCTGGTCCAGGGTGTTCAGATTCCCTTAGAAGAGGGATTTCAACTCCAGAATCCTCTTTCCAGAGAAAATGTTTGAAGATCAAGAGTATCCTTGTTAAATGGGGTCATATCAAATTAAAAAAGAAACAACCAACAGAGTGAAAAGACAATCTAAAGAATAGGAAAAAATTTTGCCAGTGATTCCTCAGACAGAGGACTCATATTTAGAAAATAAAAACAACTAAAAAAAATTAGACCTCTAAAATAAAAGACCCAGTCCAAAATGGGCAAGCGAAATGAACAGACACTTCACAGAAGTAGTACAATAAATACGTGAAAAAATGCTCAACATCATTGGCCATTAGAGAAATGCAAATTAAAACAACACTGAGCTCTCATCTCACCCTAGAAAGAATGGCCATCATCAAGAAATCAAATAACAAGTTCCAGAGAGACTGTGGGGAAAAAGGAGCCCTTCTACACTTTTTTTATCAGAATGTAAACCAGTACAACTGCTGTGGAAATCAGTATGGAGATTCCTTAAATATTTGAAACTAGAAATTCCATTTGACGCATTGATTCCACTTCTATGTATCTTCCCAAAAGAATTAAAGACATCATATTACAGAGCTGTATGCATATCCATACTTAGAGCAGCACAACTCAACAGCTAAATCTTGGAAGCAGCATATTTGTCCATCAACAGATGAATGGATAAAGAAAGTGTATTTATACACCATGAAGCACTATTCTGCCATGAAAAAGAATAGACTTGAGTAAGCTGCAAGAAAGCAGCCCCATCTTGAGACCATAACACTAAGTGAAATAAACACACAAGCTTAAATATCATGTGGTTTCTCTTATGAGAAACTCAGTGTTAAAATAGAATAAAAGAAAAGATAATAGGAAGTAGGGAGCCAGATTGTTGTCAGAGGGGAAGGGGATCAAAAGATGTGGGGAGGAGGGAAGGGAGGGAGGAAACTGGGATGAAGAAAGGAATTGGGATGTGTTTTGTATATGTACCAATCCCATATAAGGAATGTAGACATTATGTGCTGTAAATATGTACCAAAAAAAAAAAGGAGAAGGATCAAGGGATAGGTGGAAGGTAAGGAGGAAAAGGGGATGGAAAAAAGAATTAAGCTGTGTTATGTACCTGTGCCAACTCCCCAAAGGGTAGTAAACATTATGTACTGCGCATATGTCCTAATAAACTAAAAAAACAAAGTAAGAGTATCCTTGTTCTTGTCTTCCTGATTTTATCCTTCCCCTGGCATGTCTATTTCCTATTGTAATTTTCTTGCTGTTTCTTTATCTTCTCCTCATGCGTTGCTATGTCTTTTACCCCGTAGATCCCTCCCCCCTGTCTCTCTCTCTGTGTCTCTGTCTCTGTCTGTCTCTATCTCTCTGTCTCTGTCTCTGTCTCTGTCTCTCTCTCCTATTTTCCTGTTCTTTAATTCCCTTTTTATCCTTCTTCCTCTCTCTTTGGCCCACCCCTTTTCTTTAGCCATTGTCAAAGAGTAAAGAATAGGATAATTAGTGAGGCACAGGAGGAAACTGATTTCACGTTGAATTGAACCTTCAGAGAGTATCTGTTCCGGTCATACTACTTTGAAAGCAGGAAAGACAATTAGATTTGAGAGTTTCTATCAGCAGGTACACTTTAGAATAGGCAGTACAGGACAGACATAATCTCAGTTATGGCTTCAGAACCAGCTGCATGAGAGGACCTGAAAAATGTTCCACTGATTGTTCTTGAATTATTTCACCCAGTTAAGTCTTAAAACATCAGTGAGAAAGTCCATGCAACCTCAGTGTGAGTGAATCTGAGCCATGTAGGGAACAGTCTGTGGTAGAGACAGCTATGTCATACCCTAAGATGCTCTCAGCTCACCTTGATTACACCTAAAGCTGCAAAAGATAATTCCAGAGCACATGTTTAAATCCACTTTTAAAAAATCGAGGTAGAGTTTACATCATATCACATCAGCTATTTTAAGGTGAATGATTCAGTGACATTTTTAGTACATTCACCACGTTGTGTAACCACCACCTCTCTAAGTTCCAAAACATGTCCTATTGTTCCAGATGAAAACTCTGTACCCATTAACAGTCACTCTCTGGCTTCCTCCCTCTTGCTCCAGCCCCTCATAGCCACAAATTGTACTTTCTGTATCTCTAGACTTACCTGTTCTGAACAGTTCATGTAAATGCAGTCATATTGCACTGTGCCAACTCATGCCTGACTTCTTTCACTTAGCACCATGTTTTTGAGGCTCATCCACAGCGCAGCATGTGTTAGCTTGTATTCCTTTCTACAGCCGAGTACCATCCAGGGAGCCTCGGTAACCTCTCTTCTCTAGTGGCAGAGTCCTCCCTTCTCTGCTGTGAGTTTTCTCTGGCTCCCTGGGAGCTTTCTCAGATTGCATGTGGAATAGTCTGGAAGAGTGAAGGATTTAATGCCCCAGGCATCCATCAGAGGGGAAGGAATCATTGGATCAATACCTCAGTTTCCTCTGGAACCAAATAAAGTTGTGGAGGTCTGTTCGACATGGTTCACATGGTTCCTCTGAAGGTGACCAATGGGATTGCGCTGCGGTTTCTCACATTGGTAACCATTCATAATTGACTCCTCCCCCTTCTCTGAATCATTTACCCACTTCCCACCACGTGCTTCTTCAGGTGTCTTCCAGATAGACTACTTGGACCCAGGACTTTGTCCCAACGTCAATTTATAGGGGATCCAAACTAAGACGACATTCACAGGCCCTTGCCTCAAGAGTTTTAACATTTTTTTAAAGAAACAGAGAAAGTTAACAACATCTCTAGAGCTCTCAACTCTCAGAGTTCAGATTGTCCTCATTCTACTGAATGGTGTCACTGAAAGCTTCAATAATCCCTGGTTTCTGCAAAGTCTAATATACGAAACAGATATGAATTACTCAGCCCCAATGTCATAGGACTAAATCAAGTACTTTATTGGAAAAAAATAGGAGCTTCTGAGCGACAACCAGGGAACTAGAAGATGGAGATGCAGGGGTGAGCACGCATAGAGATGAAATCCAAACAGAAGATGCTCTGCATGAAAAGAGGTGGGGATGAAGGAGAGGGAGGCAGTCCTAGAGTTCACTGTTGGGAAGAGCCATACTCTTCTTAGAGTGCTGGGAGTGGAGCAGCGGAAGCCCACCTGGAGCCTCAGTCAGGTGCACACAGAGTGTGGAGCAGGAGCCAAATCCTGGTGGTTGTTCCAGTGTGTCCTTATCCTTGCGAGAAGAGATCCTGTTGAGGGGATAGGTATAGAATGAAACTGGCTTTTGAAGTTCTGTTTATACATCTTTCTGTAGGATGAGGTTTAAAGTGGGTTGGTTCAGGGGGGCTGTCAGGTTCTTTGAAGGAAAACCGAGTGAGGTCGCATTGTTGCCAAAGAGCTGGGATGAGGAATTTGATGACCTGGAATAGTTGCTCGGCCAACATGCCCAGTACAAGGCTGGGCATTCTGTGATCCTTCTGTTCTGGGTCTCTGGGGTTTTGCCATCCTTACTCCACCCCTCCTAAGTCCCATCATACTTGCTAGCTTTGCTTCATCTCCACATTCCTTCCCATCCTCACTCCCCAAAAGGTCACTGTCTCCCTCCTGCAAGGCAAATTCTTATTTCCTGATTAGAGCTGGTGCTATAGCACTGGGTCTGCCAAGGAAATGGCTATCCTGGAATGGACCAGCCAATACTCAGATCTCTTTAGTATGGTTCTGGTTAAGATGGGAGACTGGGGCCCCGACACTCACTTTTCTTTTGCAGAAACTCTGGCAGATGGATTTGGTTTGGAAGTTGTTATTGTTTCCCTGGCAGCCACCATAGATGAAGATGTCGCAGGTATTATTTTCCTTGTTATACCACCAACGCCGAAAAGCAGCCATGCAGAGGCCTGTTTCTTTTGGCAGACTGCACACATCTGCAGAGAGACCCCAGGGATCAGGCTGCGGTGCTTACTCCAGAACAAAGAGCTGTTAATGGTCTCCCTGGCAACCAGCCTGAATGAAACCGGAACAGGCTCCCTTTCCCTTGCACCTTGTGGGAGCCCAGATCTACGAACATATGCACATATTTGCAGGGAGACACCCACCCAGAATGGGTGTCCGCAACCCCGGAGACTGGATTGTTGCTATGTGGTTTGCTCACATGGTATCCTATTTAAGTGGGGTGGGTCCCTAATCCAGTATGACTAGTGTCTTTATAAAAAGGGTAGATTTGGGCAGAGACATGCATGCAGGGAGAATGCCAGATGAGCATAAAGACAGCGATCAGCACGATGTGTCTACAAGCCAAGAAATAGCAAAGATTATTAGCTATCCACCAGAAGTTAACAGAGAGGCGTGGGTTAGTTTTCTCCCTCATACTCCTGAGGAGGAATGAACCCTGCTGACACATTCGTCTCAGACTTTGAGCCTGTTGAGCTGTAAAACAACACATTAACTAAACCACCAACCCATGGCATTTTGTTTCAGCAACCCTAAAAAACTAACATATGTCCCAGCTAACATGAGATCAGTGAGGGTTAGGTCTCTGCGGCTAAACAATTAGGTCTTGTTAGTTTCTATCCCCTACTAGCTTGTCTGTCTGCCAGTCCCTTTAATTTTAATCTCAGCATCTCACACCTGGGCTGTTGAGCTAGCATCTAATTGATCCTCCTGCCTCCAGTATTGGACCCTCCGATCCATCCATCATGCAGTCCCCCAGGGAGGAGATTCTGGTGGCTCTGAAAAGCAAGTTGATCATGCCATTCCGTAGATAATACCTACCTTGACTTCATGACAAAGTCCTCCCAGGACCCACAAGGCCTTTCATCCTCTGGCTCCTACTCATGGCCCTGGCCTCATCCCTTTGATGTTACATGCCTTGGCAATATTGAACACATCATGCAACCACACACGCTGCACACTTTTGCACTGCCCTATTCCCGCTGCTGCTCAGTGTCATTAGTGACCCTGGTATTCTTCTTTTAAAACCTTTTTCAGATTATCAACTCCTTCATGGTATCTTTGCTGACTCCATTCTATATCTCATACCACTGCAGATGCCTGAATCAACCCTGCAGTTCCCTGCCTTGCTTCTTAACCCTATCTGCACATGCACCTTTTGTTTGTACCTTTGATCTCATTTTCTACATTATCTCCAGTGAGGAGGGATTGTGTTTGATTTCATCTCGACTTGTCACCATGTAGAGCCTTATGGAATGTTGAGGGTAAAATAAGAGGTATCCTGGCCTGAACTGAAGAAATCATTCCTTTAACGCCTACTATGAACTAAATACTTTAAGGGACAAAGAAAAGGCATGGTCTCTGCTATTTAGGAGCTTCAAGACAAGAAAGAAAAATGAAGTTCATAGGTATCAGCTGGCTGCTATGTACCAGACTTTGCTCAAAGTACTTCACGACCATCAGTTTATTTGGTCCTCAAACCTTTAACAATGGTTAATTTATTCTCTGAAGAAATTAAGGCACAGCAAAGAAAAGCTGTAAATTTGTTCAGGATTAAACAGCTGGTAAAAACTGAAGCTCAGATTTGAACTCAGGAAGGCCGGTGCAGAATCCCTCACCTGCAGGCATTCAAATGGCTCATGAGCCTCTTGCCTGCCCAGTCTGCTCCTTTGGCAAATCCTGGGTACCTACCTCCTAATTACCTTGCAAACACATCCCACTCTGCCCTACCCCTCAGCTCCCTAATTAAAGCTACCATTTTCCTTCATCTTAAAGTCCTTCGTTGCTCCTATTTCCCTATCATACTCTGGAGGCATAGTATAAACTTGATCATGTCACTTCCCCCACTTTCATGGATCTCCCTGGCTCTAGGATCAAAGTGAGCCTCTCTTATCTCACCCACCAGGTCTTAAATGTTTGGTCCTTTCCAGTCTCGGCTATTTTCTCCTTGCACCAAGCCATGCTCCTCTCTGTTTTCTGGCCTTTCTGTGCCTCACCATTCTGAGCCCCTGTGCATGTTGTTCCCTGTGCCTGTTGTTCCCTCTGCCTGGTAAGCCCTCCCACCCTCTTTTTATCTCAAATATTACCCTTCATTCAAATTCAAATCCAGACTTGCTTTCTAAAGATGCCTTTTCCATCTTCCCATGGAGAACAGGTCCAATCCTACCATGGGTGCTATCATTTGGATATGGTTTTAGTGTGTTCCCCAACTTAGGTTCACACTGGAGAGTTTGGGCCCCATGGTTGTAATATGGAGAGGTGGCGGTACGTTTAAGAACTGACACTTAGTGATAGATCCTTAGGTCAGTTTAGGGAATGCCCTCAGGAAGCACCCTGGGACCTGTTTCCCTCTTGGATTATGTTGGCTGTGATCTCTCCCTCCCTCATGCAATCCACCAACTGCCATGGGGTACTTGCCAGAGACTGTAACATACTCTTTGGACTCAGCCTCCAAAACTCTGAGTGAAATGAACCTTTTTTCTTTATAAAGTTAGCCTTCCTCTGGTATTTCCTTATAGAGATGCAAAACAGACTGATATAATGGGTCTTAGAGGCATAAGTAAATATTTGCTAAATGAATGCAGAATTTTTGACAGTCATTTTGGAACTCAGGGAGAGGGGCATGGAGTTAGGGAAGCAACAGCAAACAAAAACCCCTCTGTTCTGGGGTAGTCAGGGCAAGTTTCCTGACAGAAAGTTGAATCTGGATAGGCAGAGAGGAAGCAGCTCAAGAGCAGAGAGCCAGAAAAGATGAAATGCTTGATTTATCACTTGCAGTAGCACTGCTGGTATATGTTAGGTCAGTAATGGCCACCTGGCTGTCAGAAAACGATAAGAGTGAAAAGTAGCCAAGAAACCATCTGATTCAATCCCACTCCTGTACCTATCATTCATTTGGTAACACTGGGGCCCAGGTATTACCTGATAGAATAAGAACCTTACCAATGGTCCACACCATATTAGGGGCAGAGGTCTCCCAAATCCAGCAATCTTGCCCAAGACCAGTCCTCAGTGATCCAGGGATCAATGCTACCCCAGTGGGCAAAAGGGGCAGGCCTGAGTAGAAAGCTGGTTCTTTGGAGGCTCTGGATATTACCTTCTTGGAGGTCTAAACACTTTCGTCCACAGCTGAAGACACAACACTTCTTATTGTCTTGGCACTGGCTGTTCTTTGCGCACAGATCCCTTTCTTTGAATTCACATTGTTCTCTGATTCTGGGGCATTTGCCTAGGGAGGGAAGAGTGTTACAGCAGTGAGCCTTGGAGGGCACAGCGCCTATCCTTCTCCAGACTCAGTTCCAGCGAGTCAGGAAAGTTTCTTTTCATCTTGTTCACTTCCAGCAGTCCTCTTCCCACAGCGCCCTCATGCAATTCCCAGCACTGCCCATACCATCACCCCTCCCAGACACTCTCACTCCCAACTTTCTTAGCTCCGCCCCTTAACCCACTTCCAGCCTCAGCTCCTCTGAGGCAAAATTTCTATAACACTAGCGACATTTGGTCCGGATAAATCTTTGCTGGGAGTAGACACTGTGCCGTGCACTCTGGGACACTGAGAAACATCTCTCATCTCTACCTTCTATCAACCAGTGGCATTCTGTTCCCATGCTGTAACAATAAAAATGCTGCAAATGCCCCCTGCGGGCACACTGCCCACTGTTCAGCCACTGGTTTGGGCTGATCTGGTTCTCTTGGCCTTGCTGATGAGCCAGAGTTTGTGAGGGCCTCCGGTAGGTGATATTGTACAGCAATTCCTAGGGCACTAGTCGGTTCAACTTCTGAATTCTCACCCCGGTCTTCCACTTGCCCTCTCTGAAACATGGCTTCTTCATTTGTAAAATCATTTTGGCCCTACAGACTTGTCAGGAAAAAATGAGACAAAGGCTGTTAAGCTCTAGTCATAGTAACTGAGGCACAGTCCTACTACCCAACATTTGTTAAATACTTACTGTAAGTTGCACACTCTCCTTAGCATTGCAAATACATCATGTCATTTAATTCCCATCACAGATCTATGAAATAAATTCTATTAATAGCCCTAATTTTACAGATGAGGAAACTGGAACACATAGCATTTAAATAATTTGCCTATGGTTCATGGCTACCAGGATTCAACCCACTGAATCTGACTCAGAGCCTTCTTTATTTTTTTTAAGCTTTACTCAGAAATCTCTATTTTTCTGAGTGTTCAACAAATGCTGAAAACTCTCATTATTAGCCAAGCCTAGAGGTGCAGGCCTGTAATTCCAGCACTCTGGGAGGCAGGAGAATCACAAGTTTAAGTTCAACTTAGTGACTTAGACAGACTCTGTCTCAAAATACAAACTAGAAATGGGTTATAGATATAGCTCAGAGCAAAGACCCTGGGTTTAAGTCACAGTATCACAAAAAGTTATCATTATCATTGTTGTTATTATTATTATTATTATTATTACTATTTAGCAATGAATTATTAGTGTCTTACATTTTAAAAGATTACTAGATATGAGCCTTTATCCCAAAGTCAAGAAACCCCTAGTGATGGAGAGACACTTCACAGAACTACATTTGAAAGAACCAGAAACTAAATATGATGTCCCAAGAAAGGAGTCTTGTCTTTCTAGTAGGATGCCAGGAAGGTCCCTTGGTTATCCCAGATTTCCATAATCCCCCCCCCCATAAATGCTAGACTCTGTGACTTCCTTACCTCCCCAAAAGGACCCTCCACTTCAAAGGGCTAAGAGAAAGAATTGCCCAAGTCTGGATTGCTGCATCCACAGGAGGGATCTAAATATCTCGCTCTCTCTCAACCCAAGGCCAGGGCTTAGATGGAGAAAGAAACCCAGATTTGAGGACTTGTCCTTTGTTCCTTTCCTCCTAGCAAACTTCCTTCTTGCAGGCAAGAGTGGAAACAATACTTACCTGAAGAGTACCGGAGAACAGTTTCCTGGACATTCACAAAGAGAATGAATAGCATGAAAATGTTCAGAACTCCAGAAGATTCCATTCCAAAGAGGGGCTGGCCTGTCTAGTGGCTCCAGGACATGGAAGTGTCTGGCTGCTTTGACCCAGCCTCTTCCGTCAGTAACCAGTGCCTTGGATATGAGAATGGGAAGAAAGCCAGCCACCCCCTTTCTTGTTGGGAACGCCAAGTTCCCAAAGTCACCATGGACTAACTGGCATCTGCAGACCACACCCCAGCGAGGAGGATCTCTTATTGGATAATCACTAATTCCCTGGGCTGCACTGAGCTAGGCCCTCTGGTCAACCAGTGAGAGAAAGCAAAGCTTGTTTCACACTTTTCAGACTCCCTTATGTGTGAACTCCTCTCTCCCTCAGGTCTGTATTTTGATAACTTGGAGAGTTATGGAATGTCTGCCTCATTCATTTTCCACTTTACATGCATAAAAAACTAGCACACAGCTTTTTTTTGTCTCTGACAATATCTCTATTGATCTCTGGGTATCTCTGTTTCTCTGGGCCTCACTGTGCCTTTGTCTTTTTCTCTTTTTCTGTAGGTCTCCCACGGTCCCCATGTTCCTCTCTCCCTCTCCCACAGTTTCTTCCCACTGTTCTTTTTATCTTTGCTTTGGGTCACTCAATTCTTTGACTGAGGCCAAAGAGTAAAGATGTTGCCGCAGAGTAGGGTGATGGGAGGAATCAGGCTGATAACAGAGCCTTCAGATAGTGTGTGTTACTGTTCTGTTGCTTCCAGGGCAGGAGAGAATGTCAGCACTAGCTCACTGGGAACCTCCACCATCTGATGCCAGCTCCTTATTGTCTGTGGAGAAACTACAATGAAGAAGCCTGTCTGAAACGCCGTGACCTAGTCAACTTCAAAAACACAGCAAAGGTGCTAGATCCTAACTGGGTGACTAGAAAGAGGGTGCCAGAGGCCTTGGGCACATTTCTTACAGCCACAAATACAAACACTGCTCCTCAGTCAGTGCTGGTACAGGGAAAGAGATTCTTCAAAGAGTAAATGTCATCTTTAGAGCTCTCAGTTCTTTTCCTTTTCTTTTCTTTCTTTTTTTTTTTGGTATTAGGAATCGAACTCAGGACCTTGCGCTTGTGAGGCAGGCGATCATGTCACTGAGCTATATCCCCAGCCCTACAGCTCCCATTTTCCTTCCTGAGTAGTTGTGGCCTTATGTTGCTCCTGGCCATTTCTAAATTCTCTTACGCGACAGGCAGAAGCTAGACAAAGCCAGCCTATCATCAGTGAGTAAAATACAGGGTGAATGTTTGCATCTTTTAAAATTATTGTAATAAAAGGTACATTACCATTAACCCCCCTCGAAATACTCCCCGTTACGTCAAACACATTTATTCCATCGTTCGTACCAGTTTCTGAAACAGTTATGAAAGTGCTCTTTTATGAGTATCTTTATGAGGTATTCACAAAAAATGTGAATGCTGCCAAGTGCGATTCAATAGAAAGGCAGGCTCATAAAAAACATCACACTCTGTCCTCACCCACCTTACCACCAGATCTGTGGGTGCACAGCTTCTAGTTCTTTCCCAAAGTCAAAATGACAATGAAAGGTAAACGTTTTGAATTGATTCAGGACATCAAGGCAGCCATGACAACACAGCTGAAGACACAAACAAGGACTTCCAGCACTGCTTCAGAAAGTAGCAAAAACAATAGGATAAGTGTGTTCAAAGTGAGGGGGAATATTTTGAGGAGATTAATGCCAATACATCTTCTGTAATAAAATTTTAAAATTTAAACATTCACCCAATTTTTCAACCACACCTCATATATGGTCCCAAAATTTAGGATCAGAGACAGAACCCCAGAATCTCATCCCATCAATAAGAAAGAGCTCGCAGAGACTAGTGAACAGAATTTCTAAAGAATAACCAAGGTGTCCTAAGCAAGCTTGTCCCTCTTAATCTACCTCCATATGCTCCTAAATTCAGCCCAGGAGAGAGTGAAAACCTGGAATGTCGAGGTGGAAGTACTCTGAGGAGCTGCAAGGCCTAAGACTTTATAGACAGAGATCATAAGGAGAAGAGAAGTAAGAATGCTGACTAAATGTCACCCAACATCAGAGATAAGAGGGAGCTGAGCATATAAGTTCGTGCCAGAGACCATTAAGGGATCTTCTGATAGCCATGGATATAATATTTTATTGCGGACTAAAAGATAGAGAGGAGTTCTTAAATCCAAAGGAGATGGACAGATCTTTTGTACAGAGAGAGGCTGAAAATTCAGTTGATCCATTGATAAATGGATCTCAGGGCTTCCAATTAAAGCCGAATTCTTCTCTAAAATTTCTTGAAAATAAACTAAAACTCTACTTTTTCTGTTACATCTGGTCTTGTCTAATTTTCAGACCTATCCATGGGTCTCACTGTCTAAGAAGGTAGACAGTGCCTTTGGGCCTTAGATGATTCATGATTTTGGCCCTTTCTAATATCTAATTTCTTGGAGAAAGCTGGATAAGAACCCACCAGGTCTTTGTCTGTTTTCTTTACCTGTTCTCACTGAAGGTCATGGTCCTTCCTCTGTCTCAGACCCACTTCTGTTTAGAACAAATCATGTTCTAAGAATGAGGGCTCCACACAGGCAGGGAGCGCTGGTCTTCCGGCTGGCTAGCTT